CTAGCATTTCCATTTATTATGATGGTTATTGCATGCCGGAGAAATAAGCCCATCAGTTTTTACGACGCTCGAATTATATCGATCGCAGCAACTTATACTTCAGCGAGAGCGATGAACAAAGTGTTACGGTCTAAGCCACTTTCGAACTCCTTATTTTTAATTTAATTATTGGACTCGTTAAATTTAACGCCGTCACTAAGTTCTGGCGGCGATGAGAAAGCTCGATGGAAACGTCCGAGTGATCCTCGATGTGCTTGCCGATCATAATGAATGACTCATGGTATTGCGAGAAACGCAAGAAGTAAGAAGTATACTCCGTCAACACGCCGTTGCTAATCGATTAAAGACGAGCAACCATGTCATCATAACGTTTCAGAATGACGAAAGATACCGTGGCTAAAAATAATCGACGAAAAGATTGACGTGTTTATTAGAAATATTTACAAAAAGTCGACAGTTAATTCTTAAAAAATAACATATTATTAACTTATTCTGAAGAAAGAAGTTTAATTATAATAAAATATTATTTCTCTCTTTGTTCTTTATATTTACTTGTTGCACTTTATTCATTCGTATTACTCGTTTCCGATTCTTAGTTCTTCGTGGTTTCTTTATTTCGTAAACTCTCAGTTGCACAAACCTTTAATGTCAGAAACTTTCACTTCTAGCTGAAACTACGATTACAATTCTTGATAATTCAATACATATAAATTGATTATATATAGGTATTTATTTGTATCACATTATAGCTATTTACGTCATATATATGTATTCTCGAATGCTCTAAATCTCGTTTTTATTAAATTATATAGAACCTTAACATATCTTCATTATTATAATAATTATGAATTTCCATAGACAGTCACGTTCATAGTCAGCCTAATTCCATAGACGGTCATTTTCATAATTCCTTGCATTTGACGTAATCCGTCGGGCAGTTACGATCGTTTTTAGTAGCGAAAGGGTTAGGACTTCTCTCGTGGAATACCCCGTGTTCGCTGAGAACTCTGGCGCTCATTTGCCATTCATTCCCGAAACTGGGTTGCTGGCAATTGTGCCTCCGGTTCTATCTCGCAACCGTCTGTGCCGGGAAGGATCATCCCAAGATTCGAATTCGATATCCGTATCGACCAGCGGGATCGATACGCCAAGCCAGGTATAATCGGCCCACCAGCCGCGATTGCGATCGAAGATTATGCGCATCGACTAACGACCCATATACCACAACGATGATGCAATCTGGAGGCACCAGATTCGCTATATAGAGCAGTGAGCTAGTATACTTTACCGATACGAGACATAACGGAGTACAATACTATGCAAGCAGCTTCGATATTTTAAAGTAAACTATTTTATTGAAAAAGCTGACGTTTTCAAGTTTTGACGTCAAACTAACATTTAATTTAAAAAATACACATTAATTTGTGAAAATTGAAACTCTCGGCAAGTATTCATGATTTAAAATAATTCTTATGGAATTTCTGATTAGAGAACTGTAATACTTTTAACAATAACTTTCTCATAGTCTTAATTTGTTTCAGTTGTGCGGGTTGAGCTGTAAATATAATATGTATCTTTAGAATTCTTTTCTAATTGTTTTACATTACATTAATTAATTTATGCTTTATTAAGATATTTTAAAAACTCTAAAATATTGATCAAATTTTATAATATAATTACCGTATACACACACATTTCCTTCCCAAAAGTTCTTTCAAAATATTAACATACAACGCAGTAATTTAATTTTCATGGTTGTTCGCAAATTGAAAGATAAAAAGTCAGATAACAAATACGTTGATTTGTTCAAGATGTGTCATAATAAAATTTCCCGTTGATTTACGGCAATGGCTGGCAATGTAAATTAAATGATCCAACAAATCAAGAGTATTTTACATGCTCATAAATAGAGCCTTGGATTGGTCGACGATGCAGCTTGGAGAAATGCCTGCTAACCGGCCTCTTAAATCAACGAGCGGAACGTTCATACCGAAAGCCAGTATAACTATTCACATCTGTAAACTATCTTTGAATCTCCGTGAATGTTTTAGTCTGATGGTTATAATCGCCTAAATTCACGGAACTTATATTTAGAAACAATTGACATTAAAAAGATATCTAGAGGAAAAGTGTATAGAGATTAATCTGACGTAAATCTGATTTCATCGAGATGAATTATCAGAATCTACAAAATGGTTTCTGATATCGTGAAAAATACTGTGTAAAAAGTATTCTGTCCGAGGATAAGACGATGCATCCCGTCCGAGGGTGCGCGCTATCTTGTTGCGGGTGAGTTTAGAATATTCTATTTGCGAATCTCCTCGATACTCCGGACGCGAAAGAATTTCTCGTATCGCACTGTGAGAGCCAGCTTGAAATTCATATCTATGCTAAGCGCGTGGCGCGTTTAGGTTTAGTGCTTTCCGCATCGTACCTTTATATTGCGGCCGATTCGGTAATTTCGTGCATAGCAATCCCGCTTTTAAAGTCGACGGATGGTTTGATCCGTTGGCGAGGATAGACTCCGTCTTCTCGACGGGATTTTTATAGAGGCTTCCCCCTTCCTCCGGTAATTCGAGAAGCGCCAGTTTTGGCGAGAAACACCGAGAACATCGATGAGAAATTTGGTAAAAGTGTGGAGCGATACCGCGAGATCTGGCGAAGAAATTAAATGAGATCCCACGGAATCTAAATGTTCCTCGAAACGTTGATATCCTTGGAATAATAAAATATCTGGAATAGGTGAAGCATAATCGGCTTCCAGTCTTCCGAACGTGCAATCTCCTCCTGACGGACTGCACAATTCTCAATTTTTAATCTAGACTCTTCCCAAGAAATGAAGTTCAACAGTTTTCGCGCAAAAGAAGGAGCCGGCACTAGTTGGAGTTACACTCGTGAATTTCTCCCGGCGTTCATC